CGTAGCGTAACAACGTAGCGTTACAACGTAGCGTTACAACGTAGCGTAACAACGTAGCGTTACAACGTAGCGTAACAACGTAGCGTTACAACGTAGCGTAACAACGTAGCGTAACAACGTAGCGTAACAACTTAGCGTTACAACGTCAGAACACATAGACATTCAATGTATCTGTGATTTTTATAAACATACATTGCTAATATTGTTTCCTGGTCACTGGTCTGAATCATTTTATCAATGAAGTTGTTCTCCCTGAAGAATGACGATAAAACTTTAAAACTTACAAATTTCTGGAACTGCAAATAAACCGCCGATAAGACAATCTGCTTCCTGTTTACACGATGATGGTCGTGTGTGATGTGTTTTAAGGCACGTTGATATGAACGGAGACGTTTATTTGTATTCTGGATGTCTCAAAACCAAAACCAGGAGCTGAAGAGAAGCTCTGTGGAACAGTACCTTAAATCCACACGGTTGTTTCATTCATGAACACAAACGCTGAGCTCTGGTTAATGATTGGCACTATAAGAGAGATATGAAGATGGTTATCACACACACACACACACACACACACACACACACACACACACACATGGCACTAAAGCAGTGATGCAACTGTTGACATTATGAAGCAATCTCTACAACCAGAAGAGCCCGTCTCACTTTATTCAAATGAAATTGTTCAATATTTTATTACATTTTCAGATTGTTCGGTTAGCGTAGTTTAGCGTAGCTTAGCATTAAGGGCTGCAACTATACCGATTATTTTAATCTTTGAATAATCTTCAGGTAATGTTTTCTATGAAATGTCCCAAAAAAGGTCCATCACATCTTCAGAGACGTCTTTAAATGTCTTGTTTTGTCCAAACACCCAAAAAAATAACTTCAATTAAATTACATTAAAGTATTTTACAGTTCACAAAAAAATGTATTCGACACATGACATTATATATATTATATATATTATTTGTAATTAGTGCTGGTCAGACTTTATTTTCAGAGGCACTGATTCTTCTTTATGTGTTTCATAGTTTCTCTGCTGCTCTATTCTCAGTCAGACTCTGCCCTCTAGTGGCCAGTTGGTTGTGCTGCAGCCACACAAACAGTTATTTTATATGTTAAAAATAAATAAAATAAATAACTCAGGCTCATTGAAGAAGCTCCAGATGCAAAGGTGGAAGAAGTACTGAGATATTTTTACTTAAAAGTAGTTCTACAATGAAAAACAATACTAAAAATTTAAAATGTTTACTTAATGTATTTAACTTCTCAGGACAATCCCAGAACGCCGAAATGTATTTAAAAATGTAAATGAATGATGAGATATAATGATTTATTGTAATGTTTATTGTGTTTGTTTGATGTTTCTCAACACCCCCCCCCCCCCCCCCCAGCTCTGAGGGTTGTGACTCTGACATCATGTGACGCTGCAGAGAGCAGGAAACGCCACAGAGTGCTCACTCTGCTGCAAATTCTGAGTCACAGAGTAACCGGAAGACTGGAGGCCGTGTTTCAGCCACATGAAATAGATCAACTTTGAGATAAATATATTGTGTTATCGGAAGAAGTATACTATGGAAGCCCATTTCTGCAAGCGAAAAAAAACAACAATTCTAATTATTTCTTTTTTTTATGCTGGCGGAAAAAAACTAAAACTTTTTAACTTTTTTTCCACCAGCATAAAAAATAAATTTAAAAAATGCAGCAACACTTTCGGTGCATCCATCTGTAACCATAACACTGACCAGATGTTTCCAGTTGCTATAGAAAGTCTAAATGATGAGTCATAGAAGCAGCTCTTCATAGGTTACCCTACATGTGACATATACATGGATTGTGAGTAAATTGAAGACTTCTCTAAACGTGGCTTTACGACACATGAAATACTTCAACAGCTTGATGTTTGGAACGCACCCTTGAATAGAATTTTAAGCAAGAAGCAGCTCTGGAGTATAAAGAATAAAACCAATGTGGCTGAGGTGAAGACCTTCAATAAACAGCAACTGGAAATGGGCTTCCATAGTATTAGGATCTTTTACTGAAGCAGATATACTGAGTTGCTTGATATATATTGCTGTATGTACACATATATGGTCAATAAAGCTGATTCTGATTAGGTTTAAGAAAATATCGTCAATTAAATATGTTCAGGAAAAGATCGTAAAATAATTAGGTTTAGGAAACGATTGTGAAATACTTAGTTTGGTTTGAGAAAAGGTCGTAAAATAATTACTTTTAGGAAAAGATCGTAAAATAGAAATGTATCGTACGCATACATGGCCAATAAAGCTGATTCCGATTCTGGATTTTCAACGGAGTGTGATATCGGCTTCCGTAGTGAGTCGTCTTCGTGGTTGTAGACGATCTTTGGCCAGAGCTAGCCGGTAGCTAACTAGTAGCTAGCTGAAAGAGACGCCATTAGTTTGGGGTGAAAAGACGGCAGTCGCGTCAGGTAGAAAAGGTGGAAGTAGCTCGTTGTTTAGACACCTGTTGGTCAATAGTGATTACAGTCAGAGTCGCTTATGCTGTCGTCTTCCGATTTTAGCTTTTAAAGTCGGAAGCTAATGTGAGTTACGCAGGATTTCAGTTCCGATCGGTGTTATTAGCATTAGCCACGTTAGCTTGATAACAACAACACCCGAGGACTTCTTTGATTTAACCACCATGGCGGCCGGAGGGACGGGCGGCAGAACCTACTCGTTCAAGGTGGTGTTACTGGGAGAAGGCTGCGTGGGGAAGACGTCGTTAGTGCTCCGATACTGTGAGAACAAATTCAACGACAAACACATCACAACTCTACAGGTAAGACAACCAGGAAGCTAAGCTAGTTAGTTAGCGTGTGAGCTAGTTAGCTTGTGAGCTAGCCGTGACAGTTAGCGTTAATGAAGCTAGTTGTGTTTTTGGATACAAATCAAAGCAGGAAGTGTTTGTGTTGCTGTCACTTCTTCCTCTTCCTCCTCCTCCTTCCTCTTCATCCTCCTGCTAACTAGCTAGTTAGTTAGCCGTGACAGTTAGCGTTAATGAAGCTAGTTGCAGGAGGTGTGTGTGTGTGTGTGTGTGTGTGGGTGTGGGTGTGGCGAAAGCTCAGCGATGTGGTAATATGTGTTTTATTACCTGTTGAGAAACGCACCAGTGAACGCCTCTCACAGAGGAGTTCATGAAGCAAAGTACTACGTTAACTGTACATGAGAGGTACTTGTATTTATTTCTACCTCTACTCCTTTACATCTCAGAGGTACATATTGTACTTTTTCCTGTACTACATCTTCTACTTGTGGAGTATTTTCACAGTTTGTTAATAGTACTTTTACTGCAGTAAAGTGTCTGAATACTTCGTCCATCGTTGTACACAGATATCAAACATGTTAATAATCGATGAGTCATCAATAATTAAATGTAGTCGACCTAAATTCTGCACATTAGAGAGATTCTCTGCTCTATTTCTAGCTTTACTCTCTTATATTATAACGTTATTGACACCAGTGAAGGAAGAAGTACTCAGAAGTATTAGTACCATAGGGGCTGATTAATTAGATGTATACTTGTACACTTAATGACGCAGTAAACGTGAACAACTTCCTGATAAAATATCACTTTCACTTTAATTTCTTCTTCAGGCGATCACTTTCTATTTCATCTCTCTGTTGGTAGTTTATCAGCTGATGTCAGGTTAAATAAACTCACTGAGGATGTCAGGAGGAAGAGGAAGAATAGGTAAAGTGTGCTGCATCATTTCCCTCAGAGCCTCCAGATGTTGATCAATAATCATGTATTGATCAGAGGAAGCCTCCTGAGCTTCACTGAGGTGCATTCAAACACCTCAGAACTGTGTGGGTCATCACAGCTCTGTTGAAGCCAAATTTAAAGCTTCGTTTTGGTTGCTTTTTCTGACAGAAGCTTTTGTCACACATGATGTGTCCAAGGACCGTCGGAAAAATGAAAATCTACCGATAATGACAGTTTTTACAGCTTCTGGCTGAGATGAGCGGTGTAGTTTTGGAGATTGTAGAAAACATGCTTTTTTCACGGGTCACAGTCACGCGGTTCTTTCAGTCGTTTCTTCGGGGCTCAGAGACATGTGACCTGCAGAGCAGAGGTGCATTGTGGGAGTCAGGCTGGATGAGGAGACATAAATGATTGTGTTTGAGTTGAAGGAGCTCTGAACTTTAAAGTCTGTTGGTTTCCAGATACTTTCTGAAGCTCAGATATGTTGTTCACTTTGTTTTTTAAGGATCAGATCACATGTTTGAGCTCGACCAATCACAGCTCCCCATCTGTTATGACTCATTTAATTTAATTTAATTAATCTGCTAAAAAAAACAGCATCATTTGTCTCTGGTTGCTTGTGATTATTTTTATCTTTTATTTTTGATTTACATTTGAAACACTTGATTACATGTTTTAGTGATTAAACTCTGACTATTCTAATGTTCTCCTCTTCTTCCTTTTCTTCCTCCTCTTCCTCTGCAGGCGTCCTTCCTCACAAAGAAGCTCAACATCACAGGAAAGAGAGTGAACTTGGCCATATGGGTGAGAGTCACTGCCTCTGATGTTTTTAATACCTCTAAAATGAAGTGTGTGTATATATATATATATATATATATATATATATATACATACATACATACATACATACATACATACACTTATATATATATTTGTGTGTTTTCAGGACACAGCCGGTCAGGAGCGTTTTCATGCTTTAGGTCCGATCTACTACCGAGACTCTAACGGAGCAGTACTAGTGTACGACATCACCGACGAGGACTCCTTCCAGAAGGTACTTCTACTACCACCTCGTACTTTTATACTACTTAAAGACGTCTGTAGAAACAAACGATAACTTTTATTTGTTCCAGTGGTGTACATTTATTTAAGTACTGTAACTTGGTACATAGCTAAGGTACTTTCCTTGTACTTCTACTCCACATATTGTACTTTTTACTTCATTTTATGAATTCAGATTATTACCAAATATAATCCACTAATAACTAATATTACAGATTAAACTACGAGCAGTATATAAAGTCATTAAAATGAGCTCCAATATAATATATATTATTCTGCACAATGAGTACTTGTACTTTTGGTACTTTAAGTATATTCTGATACATTAATACTTTTACTTCAGTACTTACTTGTAACAGAGTAATTCTACACTGTGGTACTACTAGTTGTAAAAGATCTGAGTACTTTTTTCCCTTCGATAAGTTTGGGATGTTTTTGCTTTACAAGTACGTGATAAATATTAAACTGAGGTACAGAAGAAAGAACATAGTATTTTTTATTATTACTTTAAACACTTTGTGGAGCTAAACGTGTTTCTGGACAAGTTGATGAGTCGATTGACAGAAACTGAATCATTGAATTTGTTATTTGATGAATTATTGTAATTATTTCTTAAAAGCAAAAATAAATTTTTTTCTCAAACGTTTAATTATCAGATATTAAACTTTCTCTCCTCTTCTTTTATTCACGTCTCCTTCTGGTTTTATTAACAAAGCTCTGTTGTTTGTTGTTTGTTTGTTTGTTTACAGGTGAAGAACTGGGTGAAAGAGTTGAGGAAAATGTTGGGGAACGAGATTTGTTTATGTATAGTAGGTGAGTTGTGACTTATTTATGATTGTTGTTGTTTATGAGGCAGAACCTGAAATAGTTTCTGTTGACATAATAATAATAATAACAATAACACAGACCAGTTGAATAATTAAAGGGACTGTACGCATAATTTCACACCACGGGATGAGTGAGTAATATCTGACATACGATCATTATAATTATTGTTATTATTCATATTAAATTCTACATTAATAATCATTTATTAATAATGTTTCTGTGTTTGTATCAATTATATTACAATATTTTCACTCTCATGCTGAAGTGCAACAAAAGACACGAACTTAAAATACATTAAATGATTTATTATTTATAATTGTTTTCTCACACTTGATTTTGTTTTTCATTTCCTGATCAGTAGAAATGAGCTCAACATTAAAGATACAATAAAATGAAAAACAAAATGATTTGATGTTTGATTTCTTTTGTCTTTAGGTAATAAAATAGATTTGGACAAAGACCGACATGTTTCAGTGGAAGAAGCTGAGAGGTGAGAAGTGATGGTGGTGGTGGTGATGATGATGATGATGATGATCTGAGCATGCTCAGTACGTCTCTTCTCTCTCTGTAGTTATGCTGAGTCGGTGGGAGCCAAACATTATCACTCATCAGCCAAGTTAAATAAAGGCATCGAGGAGCTTTTCCTGGATCTCTGTAAACGTAAGAACTCAACTGTTGGAGAACAAGTTAGTGTTTAAACAATGTCAACATGACAAAGGGACGTCTTCAAAGGAACATTTTGTTTTTGTTAGAACGTATTTTACACAAAACAAAACGACTAAAAGAATGATGAAGGAATAAAATAAACTGCAGAAAGAAAACAAGATGAAACAACTTAAAACAGATGAAACATAGAAGCTTAGCTTAGCATAAAGACTGGAAACAGATGGAAACAGCTAGCTTAGCATAATGACTGGAAACAGGTGGAAACAGCTAGCTTAGCTTAGCATAAAGAGTTCAATAATTAAATGTTACATCTTGTTTGTTGTGAAAACATTTTGTGGTTTAACGATATTAACCTTTAATTTTAATAACTGCTTTAAACCTTTAAATTAAAAGTATTAAACATGAGATAAATTGTAGTAAAGTTGTGTTAAAGTTTCTTCTCTTTGTTTTCAGGGATGATGGAAACGGCTCAGGCCGAGGAGAGGTTGAAGGGCAACGGAGCCAGCCAATCAGCATCGAGTAGGCGGGGCGTACAGATCGTCGACGACGAACCACAAGCCACGCCCGCTGGAGGATGTTGCTCCTCTGGCTAACACACACACACACACGATTGCAGACATAATATTCACACACACATTTAAGTCTCTGTTGCTTTAAAATCCTAAAAAAGTATAATAATACAAACTGTTTTTTTCTGTGTTCTGCAAAGGAGCATGGGAAATCATTTTTAAAATGGTTGAATCGCTGCTCCCTTCAAAATAAAAGCAACTCATGATTGATTTAAATTTGATTTAAAATCACTCGAATGTTCCACAGAAGCAGTGATTCAAACTTTAAATCTCTGAAGCTGTTTGTGTGTTTATTAATACGTCATAAATAAAAGAGCTGAAGTTACTTTAAGGACAGAAAATGGCGGCAGAGATTTATTTATTTTTTGTTTTTTTGGTGGGATAAAACATACAAACACACACTGTATAAACCTCCATTAATCATCATATTTATCTAAATAATATAAATGTGTTTCCTGTTTGTCAAACAGAGGAGCTGGATAAAATATTAAAGGACGGGTTTAGATTTCTTGCATGTTTTCTGTTCAGTGTCTCTCTTTAAGTTCTTCTTAAAGGGACAGTAGCGATGTTTAGAAGTCTGGTTGTATGACGTACTTCTTTATAGTCGCTGTTATTATATTTAGACTATTTTCACCTCTTTACTTTGATATCACACAGCCCTAAATATTATAAATATATCTAGTTTATATGTACATCTACTGTAGTCATACACTGACTGTGTAGAAGTACCTCATACTATATTACTACTGTCCCTTTAAGGTAAATATGAGCTTCAACAGTCACTCAGACTGTTGAACTTATTATTTTACACAGAATGAATATTTATCCTCTATTTGAGACAAAATAAAGAACAATAACTCTTTAAACTCTTTAATAAGATATTAAAGGATCATGTGACTCACAAAATAAGATTAGAAATCGAGTGAAAATCACAAAAAGGTTTAATATAAATGTTTTGGTTTCAGGTTTTCTTTTTATTCCGGAAAGTGTTTTATTAAACTATAAGAAGTCTGAACTCGTCCTTTAATCTTAAACCTAAAATCATTATTTTGTCTCTAAGAATAAAGAACTTCACATTTAATAAAGAATAATTAAAAACAGAAAAACACATGTTTCCAGTAAAAGAAAAAAAATGTATTCCTAAATTTGATATTTTTATATAAATATATAAATGTATATTAAAAATATGTATATATATATTTATATATATATATAGATATATAATATCTAACATTGATGAAAACGTGTCTTTATTACAGTTCATCAGCTGAAATATTCATCAAAATCAGAACTGCAACATTATTTTCAGGTATGGTTCGATTGTTAAAATGATAAACATTGTGGCAAAAAACATCAAAATATGTTTTTTAATTGTTTTTTTTTTCTTCAAAACCCCAAAAATATAACGATAAACAATAAAACAGAAGATGGAAACTAATACAATTAGCTTAAAAAATACAAAAGTTTAAATTGTCGTCCATTAATTCTCTCGTTATTGATTAAATCTTTAAATATAATCATCGCCTCCTCAGAGTTCAGCTCTTCATCATCCTCTTCCTCAGAGACAATAAAACCTGCATGTTTGATTTCTTTTACTTTTAAAATGGTGAATAAAAAAAACCTGAGCAGCAAAAAAATATATTTAATAAGTTATATTCACTCGCAGTGATGGAAACCTATACATGAACAAAAAAGTATTTTCTGTGTACTTCTACTGTTTTTCCACCTGAAGCTCCTCTAATCTTTAAACAGAAACACGCCGGAGGTTTCATCTGCTTTTTGGGGAAATAATCGACGCAAATAGAATAATTAAATGATTTAAATAAAATAAAGAATCACTTTGGAAATGTAATTTTTTTTTAACTTCTGGTGTCAAAAGTGTTTTGTAAAGAAAACAGAAGAATTATAACGATTTGAAGCACTCGTTGTCTGTCTTTGGTTTTACAGAGAAAACTCAAATTAAATCTCCTTCATTCAACGTCTGGTCATATTCTATATTTTATTATAGTCAATAAATAAATATCTGAATCTTCACAATACAAACCTCTGATTGAAATCATCACATTTATATTTATGCGAGTTTTTAGGAACACGGTCTTCGTTACGTAGTTCGTCCACCAGAGGGCGCCGACAGATATTTATTCTGAACGATGAACCGCTTTTCATCACAATCCATTCGTTAGTTAAGATTATTATGTTTATGTTAAATTATTAAGGTATTTACTAAAGTACTTTACATACATACTACAGTATTACAATACTTCATTACTGCAGTATTTCATCACTAACTACAATAATGACTTCAGTTTACTACAGTACTTTATTACCACAGTATACTAAAAGTACTCTACATACATATTTACTGCAGTAATAACTTCAGTACTTCACTGTTTACTACAGTATATACAGTATATACTAAAAGTACTTAACATGCATATTTACTGCAGCATTTGTATTAAAATTACTTCACACAGGCCGTTGGTTTTCTGGTCTTTTATTTTGAAGTCGTCAGCTACAGTTTAATCATTGAAGCAGAAAATCAAAGAAAAGATCACAAGATCAGAATTATATTTCCCTTTTCTCCAGTTTCACTATTCTTCTTATAAAAAGGACTTTGTGGATTTCTTTAAATAGACTATAAAAAATAACCTCACATGTCTGAAGCCTCGTCATCACAGCGCTCCTTCAAAATAAAAGCCTTTACTTCATCAGTTTTTACATCATTCTGGTTAACAAGGAAATAAAGAAAAGACCCACTGTGAAATAAAGAGAGCGAGAGCAGCTGGACTAAAGTCAGGAAATAAATCGACTTTAAGCTCCGGAAGTTTATTTTAGCAAACGTCTGATTGTTTGGAGTTTGGCTCATAATTCAGACATTAATCTATTTTATCTCCTTTAATCTGAACTCAAACTATTGTGATTTTATTGTTGAAAAATGTTCTAAAACAACTTTAAATCCCAGAAGAGGATTTAAAACCAAAGTCTGAATTTAAAGATTAAAGTCTCAAAGAAGTTGTGAGATGTTTAACCAAATATTTTGTGACATGAAATAACTAAATTGTGATGAATAACTAAACTTTAAACAATCCTCTGGTTGCACAAAAACACCAGCGACCAATAAGCCCCACCCCCACTCTGCACTGACCAATCAGATCGACTCTAAGCTAACAAAAAGCAATAATAAGGTTGGTGCTGAGACCCAGTGGTGTAACATTAGAGCACAACGTCCTGGACAGGAAGTGGACTCTCCTGACAGGAAGTGGACTCTCCTGACTCCGCCCCTCTAGTAGCCGGGGGGGTTGTGCAGCTCCTGGTATTTGGGAGGAGCCGTGGTGAAGATGGCCGGCACCGTCATGAGCACCATGGGACGGTTCGGGTGACGGATCTGGTGGATTATGGCGGAGGAGAGCGCCATGCCGAGCAGCTGGAGGAGAGACGGGGGGGGTGAGTGACATCAGAGACACAAACAACGTTCAAAGATCTGTTGGTCTCAGATGAATCAATCATGACTTCATAGTTTCACTGAGGAGCTCACAATTTAATGAAATATCACAATTTTAAGCTTCTTTTCGGCCTCTTTTTCTGACTGAAGCATTGGTCACACATGATGTGTTCAAGGACCGTCAGAAAGATGAAAACCTGATAATTATGACAATCTTTACAGCGTGTGGCTGTGATGAACGGTGACATTTTAGTGATTGTATAAAAAAACATGCTTGGGATGTTTTATTATTATATTAAACATTTTTTCACACAGTAGCGAATATTACACGCCGGAAAAAAGCAGTTTTTGTTCGTGTGTTTATGTTGAAATATAAATATGTTTTATTGATTCTCACCGCCAGGACGGCCAGCGTGAAGACGACTCCGATCATGATGTTGGACAACATGAGGACGTAGTGGAGGATGATGGGGAAGCAGGCCTGAGCACACAAACGTCACATGATCAGCTCACTTTATCTACTTTACACTTAAATACATAACTTCATGTTTAGGCTCCACCCACCTTGATGTAGACGGACTTCGTTTGCCTGTGTATCAGGGTTTCCTGAAGGAAACCACAGAAGAAGTCAGTAAGCTTCCTTTAAACTAACTGAAGATGAAGAGTTTAGTTTAACTCACTTTGTAGGAGACCGACTGACACTTTCCCTCCATCTGCTCCTCCTGGTCACACACACAGCTGTCGGGGATCTTGTCCTCCCAGTCCGTGTAGCTGAACAGACCGCAGCAGTGCAGCTGAAACACCACAGAAGAAGAAACGCTATGTTGTGTTTTCAGCTGTAACTCTGTGAATTACAGGTTTATTCAGATTAAACCAGAGCCGATGAGCGCTGGAACAAAAGGAAATACTAACCGAGACGCTTCTGAAGACTTTTATTTAGTTTAGCTTTACAATCAGTGAGCTAAAATTTGTGTTTTTAATCAATGGAGTCTGGCAGGTTAGACGAGAGCATAACGGCCGTTTCTTTTCACATCCAACTCGTTGAATTAAGGTTTTATTTTGAGGAAACCAGAGTTAGTGAATGACGAACAAACAGCGCTTTGATGAGTTTTATTTACAACCGACGAGCTAAAATGACCATTTTTCCCAATGGAGTCATGTAGCACATTAGCTGAATATTTATAAAATCATAATAACTGTATAAATCCAGTTGATTTTATTTATTTTTAATAGCTCTACAAGTTGTAAATCTGTGTTTATTATTGTGAGGAATACAAAACTAGAAATTGTCCTGAATTATTCTAAATAAAGTTCAATAAACTCTGCTACGCTTCTCTCTCAGAGACAAACAGGAATTTAAACCTGCTTTGAAGCTTGAGAACGAGGACGGTGGTTTAGTCAGTCTGGAAACATCTCCACGTCGATCTCACGGTAATAAAACAGAAACTTATTTTAATTAAAGCCAGGTGTGTGTTTCCAGCTGAATCTTTACGTTTTACCTGTGTGAACTATTTAAAGACCTTTAAGGCTTCACGTGAACTTCAGATGAAAGACTTCAACCAGTCACGACGGTTTCAGAGCGGAAACGCTTTTATTTCTTGTTGAGAGTCGACTTCACCCACGACTGAGAAACAACTTCAACTGTGAAACGCAGTGAACATTGTTGTTGCAGCAGTTTAAGGAAGTGTTACACCACTTCCTGTTTGTTTCGCTCCATATTGGTCACTTTCATAAAAGAGGTTCTTCTTATCAAACAGGAACTAGTTTTACTACCGACCTCAGTAGTAAAATAAAAATCCACTTCTTCCTCATTAGATTTGCATTTCAGCCCAGCAACACACCTGGCAGTCAGCCAGCCAATCAGGCGGCCCCGAGGCCACACCTGGAATTCTGGGAGTTTAAAAACATCTTGTGACTCTTTAGTTTTAGAATAAAAACACAATAATGGAGCTTAGTGGTGATGAATACAGATAGAATGTGTTTCATAACGTTTACAGTCACTTTCTCTCTCGTTCACACTTCACACGTTAGAACTACAGAGTTTATCTGTGACCTCGATGACCTCATTTAGGTCGTTTCCTCAGCCGTCATGAACAGAAACTAAAGATCAGATCAAAGCGATGCAGCTCAGTAGGAAACAAAGCAATCAAACTAGTTTATGTTCAGGTAGAACGCACAAAAACACATGTTCTAGTGTGTGCGTGCGTTACCTGTCCCTGTAGCCTGTCGGCCATGTTCTTCACGTCCGGTGTAGCTGTGTCCAGAGGAAGAAGCTGATGGAACTTCTCCTGCAAAATGCTCTCCAACTACAAAACACAGGAGTAAAATCACACGTCAAGACTTCAGCGTCAGCCGAGACCAGCCGAGACCAGCCGAGGTCAGCCGAGACCAGTAGCCACAAAACAACTCTAATAATGTGACCGTGAGCCGGTTTATTGACTCGTGACAGAAAAATGTGTTTTTGTCTTTCACGTTGTTCAGAGACGTTAAACGTGTTAAATCTCTTCTCTTGTAGAACCGTCGTTACCTCGGGGCGGGCAGAGACGGCAGGGATTCCAGCTCGGAGCATCATCAGACTCCCGATCACCATACAGACCAAGAACTACAAAGAGAAACAGGAAGTGGTCATCACTAGGAACTACAGAGAGAAACAGACACTTTATTATTAAAGTGGTTCAAATTGAAATGGAGGCGATAACTTATTTTTTAAAACAGGAAGTGAAAATATAAAAAGGTTTCTTTGTTACAACAGTCTGGTTTCTCCCCTCAGAGAAACCAGACATGACGTCAGTCTGTTCCGTGGAAATGGAGTTTTCATCACGTTAGACTCCAGAATAAACTCTGGTGTCAGCTGATCTCTTTGAACTCACCACGATCAGACACACCCGGTTCTCCCGGTGGGCGCCGTAGGCACCCAAGATGGCGATCACCATGGTGACGGTGCCCACGGTGTAGAGGACGATGAGGCCGGTGGTCCGACCCTCCAGCTCCGGGTAGAAGAACACGCGACAAGTTCAGATACATGGTTGTTTGCGTTTGTTTTTCTGTGAATGTTAAAGCATGAAACAGTTCTTACTCCTTCTCCATCGACGTTTGTGACGACCTGAGACAGCAGAGCGAGAGCGATGACGACGCCTCCGACGATCTGAAACAAACAACACGTTAAAAAACAACAACGACTGAAACACGTTAAAGGAAAACACACGACAAGCTTCCAGATTATATTACTGGATCATCATCCGTCTTTAAGCTTCTGAAACTGATTCAAATAAATTAAATTACTTTTAACTTGATGTGTAGATTAGTCTACTATTATGCAACTATTTTAATTATTTAAGTAAAAACATTATATATACATTAAATATATTTTTAAAAACTGATTATATACATATATACATACATATACATACATACATATTTTTAAATATATATAGCATGTAATCTTCTAAAATGTAACAATCTGCTCATCTTCACATTAAATAGATATTTTGGTGACTATAGAGCCGCAACAATTAGTCGGACAAAATAAAACAAAACTACAATAAAAAAATAAGAGACTGCTTTCCGGCTGTAAAATATGGAGATTTATATCATATTATTCTGAACAGAAGACATTTAAAGACGTCACTGAGGACTCTGAGAAACATTTATAGAGCGAACGAGTCATTTGTAAACTCATCGTTATTTTAAGAGCAACAGACGACTGTTGATTACAGATCAGAGCTGCTGGGTTATGGTCATAACTGATTCATGTGATTGTGAGTGAATACTTCAGTATCTGAACACTGTTCTCGTGGAGGAAACACTCATGAGAACAGGTGGAGCCGGTTCACAACGATGAGGCCTCAGAGGACCTGATCTGATAAACACCGGGGCTTTTATTTTGAAAAATAAAAGCTTCCTGCAGAACTTAACAGCTGCAAACCATTAAAGTTAATTGTTGCTTTTCCTTCAGACCGACTGATAAAAACTAAACAAACAGAAACTAAACAAACATCTGTAACTATCTTTACTCTGAAATAAAAATAAACCGTCTTAAATGTTACCATCTGCTTCTTTTATCAAAATAAAAGAATAACTTTGAATGTTTGGACATTTAAAATCACCTCACTACTTGTCTCACGTTTTATTACACTAAACTATATTTTAATACAACAAAAGAGCTTTAAACATTAGACTTTAACTATAATAAATAATTAACCATACTATGACATCATAACTTCACAAACACATTTCACTAAACTACAAAACATCAGTTTTTGATTCTTTAAATCGGTTCGTTTCACTTTTCATGACGCCCGAAAAGTTCTTCAGGAAGTAAAAATAATAAATAAAGTGTTTATTTAAGTTATGTGTCGCGTGGAGGAACATTAAAACTGCTTCTTAATAAATCTCTTGATTTTAAACGAAGTTTGGCATTTTGTCTAACACACTCATCAGCTTTAAAACTACTTTGTATTGTTTTAAATGAAGTAAACTTAGTTAAATAAAGATACTATCAAACATGTTAACTTTAAACCCGGGAGGTCCGACTGTTACGCACTTTTTATTCACAACACATCCGGGAGGAGCTCAGCCCGGCGGCCATTTTTAAACGTTAAGACTAACTCACCGCGAAGAAGATGTTGAAGATGGTGAAGATGAGTTTGAGGCACGTGTTGACCTGAGCCATGTTTGAACGATTAGAAATACAGAAACGTGTCTTTATACAAGATGGAGGTCCGTCCGCACCGAAGGAGAAGCGAGCGAGTGGACGAGGAGGGGAGGGTGAGATGGTTTTAGGTGACAGGGACAGACCGGGGGGGG